TCAGAACTAATACAACTTCCAAGATACGTAAAACGCTCCACAACTTCCAGTGCCTCTCCCTGGATCGTAAGTGGCGTGTTCAGTGACTGCATGTCCACAAGCATGACCTTACACTTTGTGGGTGCAAAATGCATACTAAAGGACGGGATGACTTTGGTCATTTCATCCTAGAATACTTGCGCCTTTTCCTCCTCTTCGAACATGAGAACGACGTCGTCTGCATATACCAGTCCGTATACCAGTCTGTATACCAGTCTCATGGTATACTTCTTTCGATTTGTCTGTGATTTAGGGGGGGGGGGATTGGGTCAATATCAGATTCGGTAGTCAGCAAAGTGACTAAACGAACGCTATGTTTTCTCGAATTTAAGGTAACCACATTGACATCAGACATTTTTTTGCCGTTGTTGTAGTTCATAGTCCTTTGTCGGAACTCTTTTGCCCATGCGATTTCAGATTATTTTAACTTCACCGTGTGGTCTTCTGTCCGAATTTCTGCAACAGTTCTAATATGTCCTTTGCGCCTTACACCAGGCTTATTTTATTGAAGCCATTGCTTTTCTAATTCCAGGTGGCCTTCTTCGTTCTCCATTTTGTGTTAGTTTCCCTTCGATTTTCAGATCTACCATCGAGGTCGGACACACTGATTTCACCGAAACTGATATTGCGCTCATACTTGAAGACATGGGGCCACAGTATCGTGGGGATCAGTACCACTTACTTCGTCGCAACTGCAACCATTTCTCGGACTCTTTTATTCAGGTGAGCGAAGGATGTGGGTATGCCTTTTTTCTTTCTGGGTCACTATCCAGTCACAATCAGTCATTCTGAGGTAATTTCACATACACATTGGTCTTCTCGAACGGAGACTCCTTTAAAGCAGTTTACTTTTTCCCGCTCCCTCGGAATATTAGTCGCCCTTTGAAAACGGACCGGACAATCTCGGTCCCGAGAGTATCCCGTCTTCCAGCTACTCCGCAGAGCACTTTGGTCGTCCAGATGTTAGCGACTCGGCCCGGTGTCGCTGACCAGCCTTTTCGGTCTCTGCCAGATCGGAGCAGCAGATCAATTCAACATTGGCGAACTGCTTGAGTTATTGCCTCCAACGTTGGAATCGCATTCACTTATTTTCCTCACCCTTGGTGAACTAAACCGTATTGGCTGATACACAGTTTGTAACTGAAAACTGACTGGTGTCGAATACCAACTGTGCCTCTGATCAGCAAGGGCGATCCTGATGAGAGAACTTGTTGTACGTTCAACAAAACGGAGTGGGCTAATCACTCTCTACTTTAAATTTAAGTAATATCGGTGTTCACACTGGTAAAAGTCGCTGAATGGGAGATTACACAGTGACCTCTCCCGGAAGGGTCAGCCTCTCTGAGTCCAACGGACTGCCTGTATTAGGCGAATCTCTGTGTACCACGACCCGTTCTGTCATAGACGTTTCCGGATCTTACTGCTCTCTGAAGATTTTTCGGTTTCCAGGGGCCTGAATCTAGGTATCCTACAAAATTTCCCACCGAGCAATCTTGGAAACATGGCTGATTTTTATTCCGTTTTCCTCACCCTTGGTGAACTAAACCGTATTGGCTGATACACAGTTTGTAACTGAAAACTGACTGGTGTCGAATACCAACTGTGCCTCTGATCAGCAAGGGCGATCCTGATGAGAGAACTTGTTGTACGTTCAACAAAACGGAGTGGGCTAATCACTCTCTACTTTAAATTTAAGTAATATCGGTGTTCACACTGGTAAAAGTCGCTGAATGGGAGATTACACAGTGACCTCTCCCGGAAGGGTCAGCCTCTCTGAGTCCAACGGACTGCCTGTATTAGGCGAATCTCTGTGTACCACGACCCGTTCTGTCAGACGTTTCCGGATCTTATTGCTGTCTGAAGATTTCGGTTTCCAGGGGCCTGAATCTAGGTATAGACGTTTCCGGATCTTATTGCTCTCTGAAGATTTTTCGGTTTCCAGGGGCCTGAATCTAGGTATCCTGCAAAATTTCCCACCGAGCAATCTTGGAAACATGGCTGATTTTTATTCCGAGGAGTGCTTCTTCCAAACGACATGGAATGTTTTTGCCTAGCACTCATAGTTGTGGTGTGTGATAAGAGGCATTTCTGGGTGTACCATCAACCGTTGAGTGTACGGTGAATCCCTATGCCCTTTTCCATGATACTTCGCTTAGAGCATGACTGTTCACCCCAGAAGGACCATCGCTGCAGTAAGACTACTGACTTTCAACGAAGCAGGACATGGTGACCGGACAGTTTGCCAGCGGATCTGCTGTCATGGGGAAACGAATGGAGCAGAGTCAGTCCAAACGTAGGGGGATACGGTTTTTCCACACTTGGCCCTCAATGCTTATCCCTCAACGGGCTCACCAAAGTTTCTCCTGGAACGTTGAATCAAGTTGCTAAAGATTTTTTATGCGACACGCAGTTGAATACGCTCGGCCTGTTCCTGGTTAATACCACAAGCCCGGGTGAAATGGTGTTGCACCTATTCCTGTCTGGTCAATTCGACCCGACTGAGCAGAGCTTCTCAATGCAACAATGCATCCTGATGAACTATGGAGAAAAGTAGTCGAAGAAACAAACTCTTCCGTCTAATTAATAAAACCCAAGCTCGAACCCCTCCGTATGAACACAAAAAGAGGTTTTCCGAGTGTGCCATCTTAAGTATTGCGTAAAAAAGTCAGAGGGATAGTGTTACCATTCTTCTGCATATACTATGCAAACCAGTCTTGCGACTCATTTATTCATTAGCACTCTTTCGGTACCTGACTGCCTTGCCACCACGAGGGCTGGTTTAATTCCAGGTTGCCCAAGCCTAGACAGGGGAGAAGCAGAGGTCGGGTTTGACTGGGAGAAGTGCTACTCACAAGGTTGCTGAAAACTTCGACAGCCCACGACCGGTTTCATCCTTTTTGAAGCTCAGTTTCCAAGTTTCCTTCAACCCTATGTCCTACTTGGAGCCAAAATGTACGCAATTCCCGAAACACTGCACCGCAATTCGGTTTTTACGTGCCACTTGTGACATGAGACGGTTTTTGTGCAGTAAAAAAAGTGCTCAGCTGTAGCACCCTTTCGATGCCTAACTGACATGCCACCCGAAGGAAGCACGAGGGCTGGAATACTGCCAGGTTGCCCAATCCTAGTCAGAGGAAATCGAGAGGCAGAGGTCGGGTTCGAACCCCGGAACTTTCGGTCAGTAAATTCGCGCTCCAACTTCTTGAACCATCCCGCCCCCAAATGACCAAGCCAGCAAAACCGAGGCGTTAAACTGTGCCTGAACTACTCCTGAAGACAATCCAGTTCGTTGCTCGGATAAAACTGCCTGCTTGGTGTTTGATTGTTACAGAAATGCGAGTAGTTGTTGATAAGAATACGGTGAAGGAGATATCCAAAGTTTGACAGCCTCTTTTGCTGAGTTATCCGATTTCTGCAAGTTTCTTCTGGCTTCCTTCGTTTCCTTTCCGAGCATCGGTCCGAAATGATGGACCTTGTACGGTTGGATCAGCAGTTACAGAACATTCAAACTAAGAAGGAGCATATTGAAGCACTGCTCCGTGAACGAACAAACAAAACTAAAGTTTTGCAAGAAAACCTGGCCAAAAAGAGTAAAGTATCGAAACCACCCAGCAACCTTTTCCTTGGTGAATCGGATAGCGAAACTAATTTCGCCCTCAACGGCATGGATAATGGGCCATTTGAAACCCCAGAACACTGATGATAAAGTCGATGTCACAGTCCCCCCCTGATACAGCGTGCGGATTTGTTGCGAGACGAAATTGCTCTTTCTGATCTCACGGAGCTGGATCGTTACTGCGAATTACAAGAACGTCTTGCGATTTCCGAAGCCAATTTTGAGCAAATGTTGGATTCTACCAGCGATGGTACTTCTGTGCACCTTATGGACAGTATGCGGCAGTTTCATCGATCGATGCAGCCAATCAAATCCTTGCAAGATGAATTGGCCTCTCTAGCTCAGCTCAAGTCCACCTTATCTCGAGAACTGAAACAGGCTACGGCTGATCCGATAAAATCTTCCCGCCCCCCAGTGGAAAACAATGACTCCCGCTTACCGAACCAATCGGACGAAGTTTACCCCCTCATTGATGAAGATGTTCAGGAGATCAATGATCATGGATTTTCGAACACGCTCAATCGAGCGAGGAGTATTACGGCCCGTGTAGCTGCTTGTCACGCTCGAGCTGAGGCTAGCCTTTCATCGTACTGTGCCGAGCAAAGGCGTCAGACTGACATATGCAACAGTTCAGGTAGATTTGGTTGGCGCATTACAGTTCTAGCTTTGTTTTGTAAACCTTATATCTTTAGTCTTTAAAGGGTTGTCGTTAAGACCTTTAGCTTCAGTAGCTTGGTGCCAAAGTGAATTTTTCCCTTCCGAAAATTTATTCCGTTACGCCACTGGTCATTCTCTCCCTATCAGAGAGTGTTGTCGTAATGGTGATGGCCACAATATAACCGAGACCCAGGCTAGCGGGGAATAAGAACTTCATCAACTATCATACTTCGGAAAACAGGGTCATGTTATGTATAGGTATACACTCATTTCTAATTTAGTATCGGACTATTGGGGGATTCGATCAATTCTCAACCGCGTCCTGCATTTACATCAACCTCCAACTTTACGGCCCACATAATGGAGCCCCTGTTTCATTTGGAAAAATATGTAAACTATGGAAGTATTTTCCCCCATATGGTTCTTTGAAATCTTCTGTACAGTCATCCTGCTCGTCTGGCCCGTTCTGGAACCGAATTCGTTTCTTTCGTTCTTGGATGTACTTGGAGAAGTACACCTGTCTATTGATTAACAGCGTTAATAAAAGTCGCAAGTGAAACTCTTGTCCATATTGATATTCAGTTTAATTTTTTTCATTTGAGAAACAAGATTGGTAGATTTTCAGGAACTAGTTCTAACCGGTAAGCCCTCAGTAAAGCGGAACCGGTATTGGACTCTTTGAGAGTTTTCTTGAACCCCTTAAAACGTAACACTCGCCACTTGACTGTGCTTGAAGTAGGTGGATATCAGCCCAAATACGTGATGCCAATAGTGAATGTGTCGCGATACGCAGTGAACGTTTGAAGTAAAAGTCCGGGTAACAGGCTATATCCTAATGTCTGCCAGTCATTTGGATCATAACATGTTCCTTAGTGGGCGCCTGGTGGCGTTATTTTTAGGCCACTGGTATTGAGCGTAGTTCACGAGAAATTCTCATTTAGGCTATTTTGATCATTTTATTTTGCTGCGCCAAATCCCTGTTCTAACCACTTGATCACCACTAACGGAAGCCAGGTAGACGCTGTTTCTTAAGTGAGTTTAGAAAGCTCATCACGTCACAGGATGAACCTCCCTCATAGATGAAGATGTTCAAGAGATCGATGATCATGGAATTTTGAACACGCGAGGAGTATTACGGCTCGTGTAGCTGCTTGTGACGCTCGAGCTGAAGCTAGCCTTTCATCGTACTGTGCTGAGCAAAAGCGTCAGACTGACGTATACAACAGTTCAGGTACTGCTCCCGACGAGACCGGTAGCAATCTTAGTGACGTTGAGGAATCAGCCGTCCATTCAACTGGTTTGGTGAGATTGGTACCCGACGGTCTGCAAACGAAGGTTGAGTCGCAGTCGTCAATTGATGAATCGGAACTATTCAGCAGCGAAGGCCTGTTGGTCAACTGCGTTTTCAACAAGGAGAGTACGAGTGTCAACAACCATCGAATGTCCATAGGTTGTCGTCCAAGGCAGAGTGACATACTTGTTGTCTCGCATTTGATAAAACAAAACAGTTGTTCAACAGCTGTGTAAGTGTTTCGGTTCCTTCGGCGTGAACTAGTGTGATTTTTTCTCGGTTTGAAGTCTTGTGGCGTGTGTGTACGGCCCTTCTTCAGTTGGCTCACATCGGCTTATCGTTACCTCGTCTCCATTGGAAGAATCAATCATCAATTTACAAACCAACGTGTTCATCCCAGTTCCGTTTTCCAGCTATAGACCGCGGACTAAAGTACAGGGACTTCAGTTGTTACAACTTCGTTCACCACCGGGGATACGGAGAATAAGGGGATAATAGCATCTTGGTGGAGGCGATTGCCCAATCAGCTGATTGACCTTAAATTGTTCTGTTTGTCTGTAATGGAAATGGGAACATTACGCAGTCAAGGCTGGATGGAATCCCACTGTTGATTGAGAGAACTGGTCGCCACATCCCAATTCGGGTCACTTGAACGGTTTCTGTGAAAGATCTGACATCCCATCTTCGGAGTTCGTCTCACTAACACCCGCGCTCCTCAGACCAGTCGACCGATCGGATTAGCTGGAATAGGGGTTGATTGAGCTGGTCGCCACATTCCAATTCGGGTCACTTGAACGGTTTCTGTGAAAGATCTGACATCCCATCTTCGGAGTTCGTCTCACTAACACCCGCGCTCCTCAGACCAGTCGACCGATTGGATTAGCTGGAATAGGGGTGCGAGTGTTTCGCCATCCACCCGCACTGTCTGTCAAACTTTAAGCTTTTCACCGTCCAGCATCTGTGCGTTTCATCTTAGTCGTTTCTTCCTGGTATGGTTTTTCTGGCATCAATGGAACCAGCTGATCTTGACGAGATCCTGCGTTCTTTAGGGTGTGTAAGCAGCTATGAGCAGACGACTTCAAAGGCTGGCTTTCATCTTTTCCCGGTCTTCGTTTAGGTCACCCTGCTCGTTTTCAGCCAACTCAAATCCATATTGCTAGGCTACCGAGACATTTACTGGTGGTGCTCTGAGTAATCTTGCATCACCTGACGTGTTTCCACTGGAATGCACCGCTCGAAAACCAACGTCACAAGAATGTGTGCTGCCACCTTTCGATTAGACTGGCCTAGAGTTGAAAATCGAAGGCTGTCGGATATTTGTCTGGCACAGGGTCGTCAATGAACTTCGGCACAATAATGCTGACCGATTTGTTGACGCACACAAATACAGTTTGTACGCTGGTGGAATCATCATTAGAGTGACCCTTTCGTTCATTGCAGGCAGGTGTTCGCTAAGGTCATTCGAATCATCGGCCAGCTGGCCAACAGTTTAGTTGTACCAACACAGAAAGGCTGACAACTGCAAGGTGTCCTCAGAGTTTACCACGTGCGCACACTCCGTCGACGTTCGTACAACAATTCAGTCGAGTTCCACGCAGTTGGGGCAAAAGAACAATGGCTTCGCATAAAATTTGACCTGGCAAGTACAGTTACAAGCACGAATACTGTGCGACACATTGGAGTCCGAACGGTCACCATTGAAGTGAATCCCAAGGTCCGAGGCACGGAAGTTTCCAATTTTCACGTGATCGTCTGGGAAGCTTTCGTAATCTTGCTGAGTAGTTTCGAAAGTTTCCGTGCTTGTCTGTCTGAGTACGAATTCATCTGCGAACTCGTTTTGCTGAGGTGAAAGAGCGAAGTAGCCCCCAGGTGGTAGCATTTGGATCAAAGACCAAAAGTTTTGTCAACATAGCGTATTCAGGGTGGGAGCTGTTCGACTACCGAGCTTAAAATTTTACGTTCACTTTTACTCAGATAAATGGGAGGTGAGACGACTCAGTGGTTAGAGCACGAATTTACCGACCGGAAGGTGCGTGGTTCGAACCCGGCCTCCGCATCTCGACTTCTCCCGTCTAGGCTTGGGCATCCTGACATTACCTGAGCCTTCGTACTCTCCTCGGGTGGAATGACAGCTAGACACCGAAAGGGTGATGCAGTCGAACGAAGATCCCCTGGCCACTCCACCTCCTCGTCTGAAGATCGGGCCATGCAATGAAAGCGATAGCTTGGATGCACGAGCGCCATTGAGGGTGCTCGGCGCTTGGCCAATGTCATCACGGATGGAGATAAGAGCACTTTGGCAAAAAAGGGGTGAAGCATCTAAGGAGCACATCTGCATTTTGTTGAGGGTGACATTTTGAATGGAGTCAATTAACTCTACCGTGACGACGGGCACAAATTTATTTTCGGACTGCTCCAACTATGCCCTTCAAACGACCAGAAGCTGTGTGATAAGATGAACTGCCCATTTGGAGTATGGGACTTAGCTGACAGCCATGCTGTGGGATCCGTTGAGGAATCAGTTTTCCTGTTCGTCCCATAGAATTCGCACGAATGACGCCGCCGAGAACGAAGCAAATTCTGCTTCTTGTACCTTGAAGAAAATTGAGCATCCGGATGAATTCACACTGAGACATTTAACACAGAGTAAGAACGGGGGAAAGGACAGGAATCCCGTCGGTTCCTGTGTACTTCTAGCGACAGTTTCCGTAAGCTCAACCTTACTTTAAAAAGAACATTTTATTCCTTGCACTGGTGACCACGTGCTCAAAACCAACATCAACGACAAGGTACAAGCCTAAAACTCCTCTTTTGTTTGTCAATGTGGCCCAAACTTGGTGCCCGCCTCAGTGAATGGCTTAGCAGCGATAGATCAAACACGTGACAATCGTGATCTCGGCTAATATAATCGATACGGATCATTCTCTCAGCTGGGCCGAATCGTTCAACAGGATTTACTAAGCACCACTCAACCATTCCCTCAAAACGCATTCACAACGACCGGAGTGATCGTCATCTAGTTACGCCATCAGTGACGTCACGTGAAAGCCGCCTTGACCGACCATTCGTTCCTCCTGCTATGTGATATAACTGAACTCATATTTCCACACCTTTAGACCTCATATCTTCTCCCTTGTGCCATTTTTTGTTTAGTTATTATCACACTTTATGTATTATGTACAATTTCATATTGTATATATTTTATACGGTAATATATTGTATTATATGTGTACCATTATGCGAATCTGTACTCGAAACCACTTGTCGCAATGCACCCGTTTCCAATCCAAGTGAACGGTGGATGGGCGAGATGGTTCAGTGGTTAGCGCGCCAATTTACTGACCGGAAGGTCCGTGGTTCGAACCCGAACTCTGCCTCTCGAACCCCCCTGTCTAGGCTTGAGCAACCTGGCAGTGTCCCAGCCCTCGTACAACCTCTGGATGGCATGGAAGCTAGGCACCGAAAAGGTGCTATAGCTAAATGAAAAATAAACTGCCGAGGAGCGCTTGTTGTAGACTCCTACGAACATTGAATTTATTTAGAGACCGGTCTCCTTTGAATCAGGAGAACCCCGAAAGGAGCGACTGGAAGGTGACTGTGTTATGGTGGAGTCCAAGGTGGGCACACGGCCAAAGTGATTATTGCTTTGCAGGAGCAGATGCTTTGTCGCACTTCTGCTATGCAATTCGGGGTGCCCGGTTTGAAGTTGTGTTTGTAAGTTGATGAGCGACTATGTGTCTCCCATCTCGCGAATGTCTAGAGCGATCCGAACCCGTGACCCCTTGGTTCGGGTCATGAACAGCTGATCATAAGTGTGATTAACTCCCACATAGACAGGGTAAAATGCCACTCGTCATTCAGTTAGACAATTTACATTATTTTGTCGTGAGTTTACTGCTCCCTGAGTGCCACTTGTGACCCCGTCACGAATGCGGTACTTACAATTTGTTGATCATTGATCTGCAAGATGAATTGTCGATTGAAACTTCAAAATCACACTGCTAGTTATCTGAAAGGATAGAACTTTTGCTGACTCACCTATGATCCAAATGAACCTCTCCGTTACGATGTTCTTACTCAATTGAATGTGCTGCACCAGGCCGCCTCATGTTTCACTTGTTACGATATTCCGGATATCGCGATACATGTATATTCGAAATGCACTACTCATAAAGTTGCTGGAAACACTCTGACAGCCCAAGACTTACAGGATTACGTTTACTGTGTTTTGCAGTTTAAAACGTTGAAATTTAGAAAATCCCTAAGTTGGACGACAGAAGGCACGCTTTTGTGGAGATTCCACTGGCTTAGGTCGTCCAAGGGTCGCACACGGTATTCTTGATTGTTCTTTAAATATCGAGTTGATGAATTATTGTTTCAGTGAATCGAATGTCGATGAAGTGATTGCCGATTGATTGCATTAGATGAGTCACTAAGTGTAGCATACCGCTGTACTGTGCGACGATACATGTGAGTGTGGATGAGTTTAGTTTACCTTGCACGTGTTACCAGTCGATTTTCCACGGTGCGTGACCGTCAGAGCTGTGCTGCATTCGATTGCGAGATTGAATTGAGATGGCAACTTGTGAGCAGCCATTTACTCCACCCTTATCTAGTCCTAATTTGAACCCTCTTTTGGGGTGTTTCGTGAGTTCCCATCTTTTCATGCATTACCTCGTCCAAGCCGTGGCGTTGAATTTTAAAATTGTCTAGTGGGAAAGAGGAATTTGTTAAAATTGTTGTCGCACANAAAATGGACCTCTATTGTTAACATCTCTGTTTGGGTCAGCGCACATTGCCGCAACATGTAGTGGCTTACTCTTCTATCCTTTTCCGACAGATTCTTTGTGGTGCGTCCCTTCCTAAGTGGATCAATCGACTGGCTTCCGTGGGTGCCAAGCTCCCGTTCATCGAGCGTACTATCCCCCGTGTTTGGTTGACACCCCGCTCCTTAGAGGTAAGTCGTTCTCCTCTCCGCCTTGGATACGGTCCATTTATTTTCTTCCACCTTGTGCGTTGAGTCGCCTGTCGACCTCCATGGCTAGCTGAAAACCTCTTACTCGTCTTACTACTAAATATTTGATAGTAGGCGGTGTTAAGAAGATATAGCACTCTTTACTTATGGCTCAAAGGAAGGCTAGAATTTCGCCACTACCAAGCGTGGCTGCTGTATGGCCCGTAGTGTCTTCTTCATAATGGGCACCGCACGTTGAACATGCGGCCCAGTCTTTAGGTACTGCAGACTGCTGGGCCAGGCACAAACGCGTTCTTCAAACTGGTCATGGTCTGTTTGAAATTCGAGCATTGAACGGCCTCATACTGATCCTCAACCCCCGAAGATCTTCACAAACCCTGAAGAAACCTCTTGGAATCCACGAACACAAATAAACCGTCATTGCCACTCTGGAGTCTTATAATCTGTGAGCTGCGAGGACCTCCCAAAGTCACCCAATCAACCCAGAACCTCTGTGTCCTGTGTCGATGATGAGCATGCCTTTTTAAATAATTCCCTCTGCGTTGAAGTGAAAAACTGACGCTTAACAACGTCCGTGGTGCCTTGAATCGATACCACCTATGGACAGCGGTCCAAGTTTATGGTCTCAGTGATAACGTACAGCGGGTGACTATCAGCTTGTGTACCAGTCTAGAAACAAGAGTGCTCACTGTTGCCGAATATGGGTAGCTCGCGTGCGCTGTATGACTGTTGATGTGTTCGCTGAGCTTGTCAGTTGGGTTGCAAACGTTTCATCACCAACCGAGTTGACATCGTCTGTGCAGGATTTGATGTCAACCCTCACATCCTGACTTTTTCGCCTCTATCACTGACAACTTCACCTCGATTGGCAATGGACCCTTGCAATCCAGCCGTCACGCTCTGCCAGGAGACCAACAACCAAAAATGAGTGTTCACTTGATATAGAGCAGTACAAAATCCGTTCAGGTCAAGGGTCACATGCCTGATACGGGAAAGCGTTGCTTTATGACTGAAATTCTGTAAATCCCGCTGCAAGTGTCAAGCTCTTCGATTGACTTGTAACGCTTACACTGTCAACGACTAACTTAATATCTTGATAGCATCAGGTCGGTATCGAGATGACCTTATGAGATTTTGTAAATCCCGCTGCAAGTGGCAAGCGCTTCGATTGGCTTGTAATGCTTACATTGTCAACGACTAACTTAATATCTTGATAACATCAGGTCGGTATCGAGATGACCTTATGATGCCCCAAGCGGCGGTACCATGGCATTTATCCCTCACTGTATGGTCGGTGTACGATTTTTACACTCGTTTATTTGAATTTCTCCAGAATAATCAGTTGTAATGAGTTTATGATTTTTCCGTTGATTACTTGATGCACTTGTAGGAACTGAATATCTCAGACGCAGATTTTCAAAGTGGATCCTCTCACGGGAATGGTAAGAGTGTTTTGCGGAAGCGGCGAATCACATCTGCAGGCGTTACGCGCCGACACCGACCACAGGACCAAAGTGCTTCATCTGTCTTCCAGCTTACAACCTCTGCTGACACACATTCAGTTGCTGGAAGTTCTGTACGCACGGATTCGGCCACTAATGAAGTCACAGCCCTCGCAGAACACTGCATTTCTAGACCTGTCTCGGTCAGTGCTACCGGGAAGGTTAGTCGTTATCACATTCGATCTAGTTCGGCTGTCAGTCACCTGAACGCCCCCACACGCTGCTCTAAAAGTACGCGGAATTCCAGTGAAATCAATTCAGCGACACCGAAGGAAACCTTATCAAGTAGACTCCGGCTTCCCATGACCACTCTACTGGCACCTAGGCGTCCTTCATCTGTGTACATACTCCCCAGCCCACAAAACTCCCCCCAATCTTCCGCGTGCTCCTTAATTTCCCCGAACGGGACACTACACCTTGTGGATCAGTTAGAAATCACACCCAGCGGACATGTGGGCACCGTGGGTTCTGCTGTCAAACTTTGCTCAGGTTCCTTTCGACTATCCCAACCGTTCACGGCAGGCGAGGCGGTAGGTTCCATGCAATCTGAATCACGTAACTCGAGCCCGGTTGATTCCACCACGAAAACCAAATCCCATCACTCGTTTATGCATTCCGTCAAGTCTTCGTCCTCTTCGCCCTCTTTCAACTGCGCTGCTTCATTTCGAAACGGCTTTTTGAATCGGCTGCAGAACTTGTGTGGAACATCGCGTACAGAGGATTCGATCGAGCAGAACACGCTGTATGAACCGGAGAGAGGGGCTCCGTGGTCAGCTATCTACCCCGATGCGTAGTCTTGCTAGCCAACCATTCATCAATCCACTCGGTACTTTTCCACCCGAAGGTCTCCTCGTTCCATGTCACTGTGCTATTACACGTCCGGAACCTTTCACGGCTAGCATCACGTTTTCGTCTTGTCTTCATTTACTTGACCAGCGATCATTTTCGTTTTTTGTCCTTTTCAATCCACTTTATTTTTTCAATTTGGTACAACACAAACATGACTTGGGCTGCGCCAAGTTCGCGCCAGTGCGTGTTTATGCTCCAAGTGCTTCCACTTTGAAATAGTCCTGAATGCGTTCACCTCTGTGTTTATATGAAGCCTGGTAACTTCTCTGTGTTTCCTTCTTACCGCGGATTTTATTCACTTTTCCGTTTGTCACTCAGGCGTTCGTTTGAGTAGTTCGTTTTCGAACAGAATTCTTTTCCCCACGGTCGTTCTATGGATGTTTTGAGCAAACAAATGATTCACGCGTCTTACCAGCCGTTTTGTCACACGATAAGAGAATAAACTTTGTTGGTAGAAAGGGGCAGAGAAAGCTCACGTTGTAATGCACCAATCATCGTTCTGGTGGAAGGTGTGCTGTCTTGAAGAGCATTCATGTCACCGAAATCTTGAAGAGCTTTGAAAGGCTCATTGTGTAAGTTGCATTCAACCGATATGACTTGACGTCAGAACGAGAAAAGAACAGGGTTCGACCTCGACCACCTTGATGGCCTTTAGAAGACATGTGCTTACCGATCGAATTCCTTTGGATTCACGGACCCACACGAAATAGATACGCATTCACTATCGCAACTTTGGGCTGTCCACCAGCTGGCAGCCAACAGCTGTGTGGGAGGTCAGCTGCGACTCAGCATCTTGAAAAGAACGTTATTGATTTCTGATTCCTTGGAGGTTACTTGAGTAGTAAGATTTTTGTCGGGGATAATAGCATTTAGTTAGTCTTGTCTTCAGAAGGGCAGTTCTATCGATCTGTTGACCTCACGAATGTTCATCCAATGGATTACGCGTTTTTGTTGATTCCTGTGTACATTGAATCACTTACCTCAGTGGCGAATGGTGGTACCGTTTGAGCAACACATTTGTACCTACAAATCCTAGATAAGCCTCGTTAACTTTTGCAGAAATCGGCATTTAGTCAGCACTTCCAACACACATCCATGTTAAACTTCTGGGTTTCTTCTGTCATGCGCATCTACTCTATAGGTAAACTTGGCTACACCGCGGTCAGCGTCGATCGCATCTGACCACGTGAGTGTATGTAACTTATCTTGGGCATCCTTCACACGCACTGTTCCAGTAAGCGCTACACTTAGCTGGATCAACCTAATGGTGATAGACCTCTTTTGTGCTCCTATTTACGTTCAGATTTGGCTTGGCCCCGTGAGCTGGTACCTGTGTTTGCTAGGCGATACGCGAAGTCGCATCTTCAAGGAATTATCCCAGAAGTTGGACATGTCCCAGAACATTTGTAGCTCAGGGGCGTTGATTGTTGGTTGATCAGACGACCATTGATCTACTCGTCGAGTTTCGAATCAGCTTGCAGCTATTCCGTCATCAGTCGAGTTGACTTCAATGCGCGGTTGGGTGGGCAATACCTCGCTGCCTGCCTGAGTTTATATAGCTGTCAAAGACTAGATTATCTCGATTGCAGTGATTGGCTGAAGGGGAATCCCACTGGCTGTTTCGAGCTGGGTTGCGTCATAACCTGTATTCCCTGATTTTTTTTGAGTGGGCTGTGTAGGTTCCATCTGAAGACCTGGTCTTATTGATCAAATTTCGATTTCTGTTACGTCGCAATCTAGCTTCCCGTTATTTTATTGGTTCTTTCGCCATGTTCTGCTTTGAGTGCTTTTTCTTCTGCTTGATTGGTCTGTTCTAAATCTTTTGCGTTGTAGTTTGCCTGAATGAATGTGTTTTTTGTTTTCCACAGTTTTATCGCTATCGAACTATCTTTCTGTTTAAAGATATTTCTCACTCTTTACTCGATTTTTTCTCTAATTAATTGGTTGAATTGCGTTCCGGTAGGCTTGAACATCGCTTTGTAGTTGGGTCCACCTGCTTCCTCTACGCTTATCTCCCATGGTTGTTCGCGCATTTTCGACTCTTGTGTTCATCCAGCTCTTTTATCTTTAGTGGTTGATGGATCCGGTCGGTTTCTGTATGTTTTTTGATGGGTGCTTGGTTTAAGTACCACGCTTCTACGAGATCAAATCTCTTCTTTGCTCGTGCTTGCACTAGCGTGTAGAGGTTGTTCCAGTGGGATTCGTGCACGGAGCCAGAACTGTTCGCAAAGTCTGCGTTCATGTGTTTGGGTAGAAGGCTTCCTGTCTGTTCCATGTAGCACCAGTCACAATCTTCACATCGATCCATCTGTACTCTATCGGTCTTCGTCATTGTGCCTAATTTTTCTCAAAGTTTTGTCAGGGCTTTCCGCAGTGCGTTCCCAGCTTTGTAGGCTACCTTCATACTGTGCTGCCTTGATGGTCTTGTAGCCATTTCCGAGGTGTTTTTGATGCATAGATGGTAATTCTTTCGCCCTCTCTTTGTGCTGTTGAGTTAGTCGCGTAGGCATTTCTGAGGATCCACTATACTCAGTTTCCGGGGTATGCTTTTGTTCTAAGAACTTTTCTTTGATCGTAGTGCGTTTCAGTCCATTCGGACAGCTTTGTTCGTGGCATTTTGGATGATTGCTTGAACAGCTAAGGATTTCGTCCGTAAGAGCTACCTTTCTCTAGACCCCGTTTGAAAAAACATTGTGATAAGGACATCCAGAAATGCCAGTTTTCATGTACGGGGAGGGATATTCTCAATGATCACGGGATGGTCCATGTATGATCTGGGTCGATGTGGATCTTATAGGACGATGCGACTAGCCAGTAGACAAAAGGAGCAGACAGACGTGGGCAGCAGACGATGTATTGAGGACCATCAATAATGACCCAATCAACAGGAGCGGAAAATAGTCAATGGAGTAGGAGGGCTTTATTGAAGCTACAACAAGAAAGTGCTGAACAGTGCACAAACATACATATACGGCCAGTCTGTCAATGTGCGTTGGCCGTAAAGTGTGATAGCGGCGCAGAAACAATCAGTACTTTTGGGATGTAAGGGACTGTCTTTCGGTTGGTGGCGCGACACGGTAGCTCGTGTCACGTGACAAATCAGATTGCGCGGTTAGGTCCGTTTAAAGCGAGTTTTGCCAAAAGCTATCTGGCAGATGCAGTAAACAGGTAGTATAAAAATAGATTCCCCGGTTCCAGGTTGGTGTAGTGATCAGTACGCTTGCCCGCCATCCAAGGAGCTCGAAGCTCGGTTGATCGGTTTTGTCAGAGCGTACGCTCGTGAATGGGTAGAACTGAGACGAACTTGTTACCAATGACGGACAACAAATATTGACGTCGGTTACTGAAGAATAAGCAGACCTTAGGTTGAAGCGAAACAGCGGGGAAGACAGCAGCAAGAAAACGAACGACGCTATAATAAACGTGCGTAAATCACACTACTCGTGAGTAGTGGGAATACAAACAAAATTACCTATGTTCACCGCTGATTCCTAGAGGAGAATCAAAAGTCCATACATCTGTTATTCTGCTGTGCAAGATTCTCCAGTATCCCTGTGCCATCTTCGAGCAATTTTGTAAAAAATTTTCCAGACGCACGAGAGACTGCCATGGGATGTTTGCCGAATCACTGGTTCGGTGGTGAGTTTATAGTTCAAAGTGATGGATCAGTTGTGACCAACCAGAAAGATTCTGGAACGGGGAAGGATTAGGAGCTTCCGCGGCTATGCTGAAGGTCGACTTCTTAGTATCGTTCCGTATGAACGATAGTAGTTCATACGGAAGTAGCAGGTAGTTCACCATTTCACGAGCCGTGCGCGTTGGAACATCAGTATTGACCAAATCTCCGAGAAGATGCCTGTCACGGCGGATCCCTTCCACACAGACATGGTACATATAGCCTCGTGCAATCATTCGACAGAGTTGTGGGTCAAAGTGGGTGCGAATCGAGAAACACGTTTACATCGGTGCTGTGATATGACCCTGATAGCTACAAGAAAACTACACTGGCTGGGTGGCCATTTGATGCTGAAGATCCATAAAATATTGATTGTCAAGGAGAATGACTGTTGCTACGCTTCTCAGCTTGTCATTTTCTTGTCAGACTACTTATATGGTGGATATCCTGGGTGATGGAAAGGACCAAGGAAGAACTCCAGAGGGGATCCAGTAGAGGATGACCGGTTTGAATTTCTTACCGGTTGGTTTTTTTCAGAAATCATTTAAAGGGATATAATCTACAATCCACCAAAACAAATAGAGTGAAGATTCAACTGAGAATAGAAGACGAGATGGAACGTGTATAAACCTAGTAACAGGCGATTTTCACCATCCGTTTGTGCCAAATATTGGGAAGAACTTGACGAAATCAAGGCCGTCACTGGCCGTATTGCTATTGTTAGCAGTCAGCTCTGTCAATTCGCTTGCCGTTTAGATGCCGATGTGGAAATACCCACTAAGTCACTGTCTCTGCAACGATGATCAGAATAAACTTCCTTGGACAACACGTTGTCCAATTTGTTACGAGAAATTCCGCAATCAACTAGTGGCTTGCAATTCATCCACAAGAATTCAGACGCACAATCATAAAATGTGTTAGAACTAGACATGTCGACTATCACAAGATTGATCGTTTGTATTCAAGCCTCTCTAGATCCAAGTTCGAAAGCCTCCGACGGGACATAACTTCCAACTTTTCAAGCAGATCGGAGCACGGCACGGCACGAAATCATGACCGTATGGCTCACGAAGGGATACGTTTGCGCTTGCAAGCAAAGAGAACTCTAGGAACGTCAGAACGTGTTTGTGCTGAGCATGTGTTACACTAAAGGATCGAAACCTGTCAGCTGGATGGTTAAAAGGCTTACCATAGTGCTTAAATGCCGTTGTATCTGAAAATAATCGTAGAATTTGATTCCCTCAGGANATATATATATATGAGTATATCCTTGGAAGCGTCCTACTGATGGATGAAGATTGCGCGCGGAGAATTAGATGCCGGAAACTTTTCACTCGCGTGCACCATTTTAAAACGTTTGCCATGTTGTTTTTCGCATCCTGTGCTTATCAAAAATACGGTTCTATTACCACTTGCCAATACTTCTCAGCGTATTGGTTTGAGGCGATAGCTTACTTCCTAACCGGTCTAGCTATGAACGCGCTCCGCGAAGCCTACACCGACTGGGAGTTTATTAAACAATGGTAATCAACGAAGTGTTGACGTTGTGGCTGTTTAGAGCTTAACCCCTCAGCTGGTCAATTTCTTGCCAGGTGGCTTATGTGTTGGAGGTGATCTGAGAGGCCAACGAGGAACGCCAGAGGTATTCCCCTTAGAGAAGAGAGAAGCTGTCTTGTATTTCAGGTGGGTTGAACTACCCGCCGGTATCAAGTCCAACGCCTTCGGTTAGACGAATCGTGATTCAAAGACGTTTGGCGAAGAACGTGATGCAGTCAGGGCCGTCAATGACCATATTTCTAGTGGTAGACATCGGGTATTTTTAATTCATCCTAGTCGTTGCCAGGGCAACAGTGACCAGTATGAAATTCATTCCACAGCGCGGTGTCCATTTTGTTAAATGACTCAGTGGCTTTTGTTAGACCCGGTCCTAAAACCGTTCGTAATCAGCCCTTTCGTGCAGAAAACACGTTGTCGGAATGTGAAATGTCTGGAAATATCACCAAGTTCTCAGATACACACGCACATTTACAGCATTCAGCGTTATGCTAATCATTAAAGTTAAGGGCCTTTTGTACTTATCACGTAGGGGTTTTCTCCCAAAATCCAGAGTGTTGTAATAATCCCTAGAATGAATATCGTGCTGTGGGTTACTCGGTAAAAAATTAACACTTTTGAGAGACGCGTGCCTCAGTAGGGTACGGCAGCTACTCACGCAAAAAAGAACTGTTCCGAATGGCGGACGAATCGTCGAGTAACGGTCTGCATAGACACACACGGAGGTCTGGTCAGTCATCATCAAATCATCAAAGACAGCAACATCAGTGTTGGCACTGATGCTTCACTGCCGTACAACCATAAGTTTCGTCTAGTTTGTATATATGTCTATATATATATATATATATATATATGTATATGTATATATATATATTTGTAGTAAAAGAGATGCCTACACCTCCAATCTGGAAATAAACTGATAGCACGAACGCCACTGACATCGATTAGCCGCCATTTCTTGCAACATCTCCAGTTAAGCACAGACGGGGTCGCGGGGACCCCATCCTGGAAGTCGCACAACACCAACAGCACCCAAACTCTTCGTGATCTCTTTGACGCCTTTCTGCCAAGTCATGTGCTGTCCACCTCGCGGTTTGCGGCATCCTAAAGGAGGCACGGAGAATAACACTCGTCTCGGTAGACGGTGTTTCGGCATGCGTAGCACATGGCATGCTACTGCTGACACCACCCTTCTTACACTTTCACGTTTTCCTTCTTTCACCCTCCTCCACCCAAATTGTGGTCAATCATTTGAGCAACACCACGTTATGAGAAATCCCGAGATTAACCGGTGGCTTGAAATTTATCCACAAGAATTCAGACACAATCATAAAATGTGTTAGAACTAGATCATCACAAGGTTGACCGTTTGTAGTTCTGGATCGAAAATTCGAGGGCGGTCGAAGAGATAACTTCCAAGTGGACCACATTATCAGAGCCCTGCGAGAGGTAAAATTCTATTCGAAATACCCCACACGTTTCAGCATCCAGGCAACAAAATAAAACGCTACGTCATGTGTTCAGACCACCGAGATTCGACAATCGTCGCATTTGGTCTCTATCGATTACCTAAACCAATCCTCACGGCGCCGGAGCGTTTCTGCACAAAGCACATCCAACAGATTGTTCATTTATTCAGAAAATCGGTTACTGTTGATTCATCAGAAACGCGAGATGATGCACGGTTGCTCCCAAAATGCCGGTAAACCGTCATCTCCGGCACATGGTTCGTGTGTTGTGCCAGGAGAAACGGCGTTAGCCCACATTTGCAGTGCCGCTGGGGAGGGTCTTCCATTCAGACTGGGTGGGTGAATGTGAACTCATCCGGCCATCACTTCACCACTAATTTGCAGTACACCTTGAAAACAAAATGCGATGACGTCCATCGCCTAGTTAACATATTGTTGGCCCGAAAGAAGCGGTCCTGCCAAACCCTCGTGAGCCCGTTGATGACGCATACTTCCAGGACCAGGATTCCATGGAGTATGGGAGTGCATTCTTTTCTAAAAATGTAGAATGAATGCACTGGTGACTATCAATTCCGCTTGCGATGGATGGATGTTCATCATGTTACTCAAGTTGTCGAACTTGTTCAGTGGATAAGGTCTACCACTGAGATGTTACCTGAGAGTGGGTCACGTTCTACATTGGATGACTAATCTAATGGAACCGGTCTTCGCAGTGTATGCAGGGAAATTTACAGAGTAACACTCGAGCCGATCATCCTGCAGGGATACTGGAAGGGATTTCATCAGGGGGATCTCCATTTGGACGATTACATATAATTTCACATGGTTGTACATCAGTGAGACACCCGTGATCTTGTGCAATTCGGCTCCCGCTTCGGATAGTGATACAATATGGAGATGGACATACTTTGTTTGCAAAACTGTGACACCGTAGCTTTACATTCTATTGGTTATACACTCGTTTCACTTTACGTAGTTAAGCAGAGACTACCACACTATTATACGTCTGTAGTTCAGAATATATGCCCCAAAATCATTGAGTAGTATAGTCACATGGTAATACTGCTACACACTGAGGGATTACCGAAAATCACCTGTTTAATCCATTGAGTTTGCTCTAAACAATTACTCGAGCGAGTCTTGTCTAAATGGGAGCACGCTGGGCATTGGAAACTGCACCCGAGGATCATCCCGCGGTTGCGACTGTCTCGTCGGCATTACTTCGCCCCTTAAATAAATGTCGAAGGTTTGACGTTCACTAAATAACTCGTCCCGAGTTACCGTGTAACAATGTAATATGGCTTATGTTGATCAAGAATTCAAACATGATTCAATCTTTCATCGATCGGTGCAAGTAGGCACCGTATGGTTCACTAGAGCAGACAGGTTTTCTCAGTTGTCACTTTTATTCAACACAAACTGATCTGGTTACTAGCCAGGTTCTTGTCTGTCACCTGTCAAAGCCACGAATTATTCGTGTCAGTAGCCTGGCGAACATCCTGACGTCAACAACTGGTTGCTGGAAAAGGTCGTGGGGGGCTACAGGTTGGTGTATATTTCAAGCGCGTGCACAGGTTGAACAGTAACTGAACGTGATGGAAAGCATCAGACTGTGTCTCCACTTGGTTGCGTTGATTGTGCTGCATGCCAATTTGGGTGAGTCTCCAGGGTTCTTGGAAATGCGGAACCAAAACCAAACCATTTCCTGTGAATGCAGTGTCCGCATATTTCATAATTGTTCGTTTTCCCCGTTCTCTATTGCTCCGGTTGTCGGAACAAGCTCCATTATGCGCGGCATGTAGATGCTGAAATGTTTCGCTGGCACAAATCGGTACCCGATAGCCGCAAAGTTTGTTTCAACATTTCCGCTTATTTACAGAATTTGCGAATAGCCTGATTCTGTGCAGAGAAAAATTTTGGGAACCATACATCAATATCTAAGTACGAACTCGTGTTCTTTTTCAATGCTAATCTATGTGTTTGAATTTCGCACAAATGGATGGAAAATCTTCGAAACTTTAACTGCATACTGACGATCAAATCTGTCCGATAGCTTTATCTGATGTTTGGTGCCACTTAGCATGTTAGGAGGGTGACGCATTATTTGACCACTCTCTGAGCAATCATTCAGAGTCCAGAGTAGACTAAATATGTTGCTTAGGCGACATATTTCTACCTTGGAAGCAATACACTACTCATGAGGTTGCTGAAAACTCTTCGACAGCGCACGACCAGTTTTGGCCTCACAGAGGCTAATCGGGTTGGCGCAGTCTTCGAGTTTCCGTCAATATGATGTTCTACTTGTACCCAAATTGGACAGATTTCGATAAATACACTCGTTTGCATACCGGTTTGTTTTTGACGGTCTGCTTTAGCACATTCGTCTGCTTAGAAACATGACAAAAGTGATTTAGCTGGGTTCCAGGTGAGCCTCCGGTGAAGGTGCAAACGATTGTATCTGTCCATATTTCTTTGTGGTTCTGTTTATTCCTGCTAACACTGGCCAACTGAACGGCAGTCGATCTAGAAATTGCGGTATGACCAAGATCAAGCGCTTAATAATACAAAAGAAAGCGTAACTCCAGTCCCATTCATTTTTGCCAGTAATACAAACCAACCACAACAGTCATAGAAGCAAGTGAGCATGGTGTTTAAAAGGGTAGTCGTGGATGGAACTATGCCCCATTCACATTAGTATTGGGCTTTGCGAGCTGTATGATGAGCTTGTGAGAAGACAATTCATTTACGTCGTAAAAGTCTGTGATGGGAATAAATCCTTTTGCGTATATACAAGCATGTGGGACTGTACGAATCGACATGATACTCTGAAAATTCTGTTTTTTTCTTTAAATGAATGACCAGATTGTATAGAACTACTGTCAGACTCAAAATTTTCTAAACACCTAAAAACTGCGATATCGAATATCGTGCCAACTGAAACAAGAGGCGGCCCGTGTGCACAGATTCAGTTGAAGAATATCATAAGCGAGAGG